AGATAACTAGTATTGCGACGCTTACTACTTATATCTCTCGACGAAGATAACTAGTATTGCGATGTTTACTACTTATCTCTCGACGAAGATAACTAGTATTGCGATGTTTACTACTTATCTCTCGACGAAGATAACTAGTATTGCGATGTTTACTACTTATCTGTCGACGAAGATAACTAGTATTGCGATGTTTACTACTTATCTCTCGACGAAGATAACTAGTATTGCGATGTTTACTACTTATCTCTCGACGAAGATAACTAGTATTGCGATGTTCACTACTTATCTCTCGACGAAGATAACTAGTATTGCGACGCTTACTACTTATCTCTCGACGAAGATAACTAGTATTGCGATGTTTACTACTTATCTCTCGACGAAGATAACTAGTATTGCGATGTTTACTACTTATCTCTCGACGAAGATAACTAGTATTGCGACGCTTACTACTTGTATCTCTCGACGAAGATAACTAGTATTGCGATGTTTACTACTTATTATTATTATTATAGAAGGATTACACATTGAATAGCTACAATAAGTAACTAAATTAGAACGCGCATTACATATATATAGAAAATATACATTAATTACTGAACTATCTAAATTAGGTATTATAAAAATTTCAATAGAGATAGTTATATCAAAAAAAGAGTTATTAACAAAGGTTCAATTGGCGAAACAAATGGACTGATCCAAAAACTATCACTACGTGTTAAAAATGTTTCGATAAAAATATATAAAGTTATATTATATAATATATTATAAAATAGAGTTATTATAGAGTTCAATTGACGAAACGATTGGGCTGTTCCGAAAACGTTCTGTTCTGTAGTGGTAATTGTAAAACAATTGACCATTCTGACGTGTAACCCTTTGCCGTACCTTAAACCGTACCGTTACTTATCTCTCGACGAAGATAACTAGTATTGCGATGTTTACTACTTATCTCTCGACGAAGATAACTTGTATTGCGATGTTCACTACTTACCTCTCGACGAAGATAACTAGTATTGCGATGTTTACTACTTATCTCTCGACGAAGATAACTAGTATTGCGATGTTTACTACTTATCTCTCGACGAAGATAACTAGTATTGCGATGTTTACTACTTATCTCTCGACGAAGATAACTAGTATTGCGACGCTTACTACTTGTATCTCTCGACGACGATAACTAGTATTGCGATGTTTACTACTTATCTCTCGACGAAGATAACTAGTATTGCGATGTTTACTACTTATGTCTCGATGAAGATAACTAGTATTGCGATGTTTACTACTTATCTCTCGACGAAGATAACTAGTATTGCGATGTTTACTACTTATGTCTCGATGAAGATAACTAGTATTGCGATGTTTACTACTTATCTCTCGACGAAGATAACTAGTATTGCGACGCTTACTACTTATCTCTCGACGAAGATAACTAGTATTGCGATGTTTACTACTTATCTCTCGACGAAGATAACTATAGTATTGCGATGTTTACTACTTATCTCTCGACGAAGATAACTAGTATTGCGATGTTTACTACTTATCTCTCGACGAAGATAACTATAGTATTGCGATGTTTACTACTTATCTCTCGACGAAGATAACTAGTATTGCGATGTTTACTACTTATGTCTCGATGAAGATAACTAGTATTGCGATGTTTACTACTTATCTCTCGACGAAGATAACTAGTATTGCGACGCTTACTACTTATATCTCTCGACGAAGATAACTAGTATTGCGATGTTTACTACTTATCTCTCGACGAAGATAACTAGTATTGCGATGTTTACTACTTATCTCTCGACGAAGATAACTAGTATTGCGATGTTTACTACTTATCTCTCGACGAAGATAACTAGTATTGCGATGTTTACTACTTATCTCTCGACGAAGATAACTAGTATTGCGATGTTTACTACTTATGTCTCGATGAAGATAACTAGTATTGCGATGTTTACTACTTATCTCTCGACGAAGATAACTAGTATTGCGACGCTTACTACTTGTATCTCTCGACGAAGGTCCTCAAGTTGGCTTGAAACGTCAGAGGCAAATGAACCACGACACTCAAAAGCTAACTTTGAACATAAAGAGGTTTTTGTGATTGTTTTACAGGCGGTGGACGATATACGAACGTTAAAAATCAAACCGAGTGGAAAATTAGAACAACTAGAAGAATATAAAACGTCAGGAGAAAAAGCTGAGGTATGATGACACGCATTTTTTATGAGAGTTGGCAAGCGAGGGGTTTGCATGAGAATTTTGTCAACTTTCATGCCCCGGGGAAATCATGAGCGTGAAGGAGTTTGTATATCTGATACAAAATCATGTATTTACATAAACGTTAAGTTCAATTTTCTCACCAAATATCATTAATTTATTTTAAATTGTTTAAGAATACGAATGTTCTCATCAAGACGTTTCAGAAGCCATTTACTACAGCATTCGCGTCCGTGTTGTATCGCGGCACAGGCTTTTAGCCAGAAGGGCGTCCAGGCGTCCTGGGACGCCCATAGAACAAAAAATGGACGCCTTTGGACGCCCAAATTCTGGGGGGAAAAGGAAATTATTTTCAATTATTTCCCTAAGTATATTAATATATCTGAAACGAAATAGCTTCAATTCTCATTATTATTATACATTTGAAATTTTGATCAATTTGATGGTGTACCTGGCTGAATGAAAATGTCGTAGTTAAGTAAAGAAGCATAGCGGCACAAACTCACAAAGCCAAGTGTGTTTGAAAAATTTCGAACGAGCTTGGAACAGATACTGATATGAAGTAACGTAAACTTCAAAGGTTTTCCAGAGGAACTGTTTCTCAACCCCCTCAGGCCCCCTCCCTCTTTACTGTAGATATATCGTTGTACCAAAATTGGACGCCCTCTTTTAGGACCCTGGCTAAAAGCCTGATCGCGGATATGCACGCACAACAAAGTTTTTTTCGTACTTATAAACCAATGAACGACACATTTTATTTTTCTTGCAGTATTTAAAGCTGGTACGTTCATTCAAAGATTATGGTTGTGTACGTTTCCCGCATTGCGAATGTGATGCAAGGAAGAATGGTCATGTGATTGTATCGTTCAACTTAGACAGTGTCATGCTACAGGGTTGTACCGTGGAGGGAGAGCTCGAGGTTCGATTCTTATTTTTCATTTAAAGTACAATGATATTTACACTGTTGTAAAAACTGACCAACAAAATGGTTATAGTGATGTGTCTTTCACCTAAGTCTGCAACATTGTTGTCTGATTATGTGAGAAGATTGCTTCCAACTTGACTCACCAGGTTTTCTGCCTAGTTTCTAGCCTTAAAGTTATTGTAGACAACTAGGGTACTAAAGTTATTATAAATCCGAATTAGGAATGTTCGGTATGAGAAATTTCCGGCATCGGTATACCGAAAAAATTATACCGATATTATATACCGGTTTACCTTTGATAATTATAAAGGAAAATTCTTTAGTGGAAATTTGAAGGAAATTTTGAGTAATTCTAAAAGGGAAAACGATAATTCCGAAGCTGTTTCGAACACGTACTCAGTGTAAAATCTCACTGAAGTGGAAATTCTAAATCATTGCAGTAGAAAGTTCTTTGAATTGCCATTCAGTAGTAAAATAATGGTTATGCTTTCTCCATATAGTTGGTAAATTTAACACGATATACCGAAAAATTCCGGTATATCGGAAATTTCGGTATATCGGTATATGGTTGAATATCCGGTATCGATATACCGATATTGATTTAACACCGATATTTTCGGTATATCGGTATACCGAACAGTCCTAATCCGAATAAAAAATTAGTAAAAATCACAAAACTTTATATACATTATATATGGAAATTATGACAGTCTCTTTCTAATGAAGTTTTTTTGTAGAAGGTACAAATAGAAAAGGTCATTAGTTATCCAGTGCATAGTTATTTTAGTTGAAGATCTCATCTTTCTATCATTAGAAATGATAGAGCTATTTTGGTATAAATGGAGTTTAGATTTCTTCATGTTTAGTACCATTTGACCAATGATTCTTGCTGAACCTCTAGGAGGAACTGATAGATCTATCCAGTATGAATAAAGTCAGTTTAATTTAGGTTTCCTCCTGTAGTAACACTGGGTCAATAAGAGAGATGATTCTTACTGGACCTCTAGGGAGAAGAATTTAGAACTGATAGAACTATCCAGTGTAAATAAAGTCAGTTTAATATAGGTTTGCTGTTGTAGTAACACTGGATCAATAAGAGATGATCCTTACTGGACCTCTAGGGAGAACAATTTAGAACTGATAGAGTTATCCAGTATAAATAAAGTCAGTTTAATATAGGTTTGCTGTTGTAGTAACACTGGATCAATATGAGATGTCCCTAACTGGACCTCTAGGGAAAACAATTTAGAACTGATAGAGCTATCCAGTATAAATAAAGTCAGTTTAATATAGGTTTGCTGTTGTAGTAACACTGGATCAATAAGAGATGTCCCTAACTGGACCTCTAGGGAGAAGAATTTAGAACTGATAGAGCTATCCAGTATAAATAAAGTCAGTTTAATATAGATTTGCTGTTGTAGCAATAAGAGATGTCCCTAACTGGACCTCTATAGGGAGATGTTGGATCAATAAGAGATGTCCCTAACTGGACCTCTATAGGGAGAACAGTTTAGAACTGATAGAACTGTCCAGTATAACTACAACCTTGAGTTGAGTTTATTTTGCTCTAGAAATGGTATGTGCCTTTGCAGAATATATAAGGTGTAATTTTTTGTGTCGTTTGTCCTTCTAGGATCTAACCCACACGTTTGCTTACGAAGATTTCGTCCACTGGGACGAGGATGAAGAGGGGATGGCGTTCTATTTTCAATATTCACGACCAGGAAAGAAACCACGCTCTGTCAGAATACTCTCACCTTATGTAAGTATATGCTGCATAGAGAAACTGTATTTCTAGTTCAATCACTTCCAAACTGTTCCAATCCACTGATCGATCAAGCAAACTGCAGTACCTCACAGAAGGAGGGTTTTGTAGATGGAAATTTTGGGTGTGAATTTTATACATTTAGGCCAAAAAAAAAATATGTGGGTTTCCGGTTTCCCGACCCTACCTAGCTTTTGGACGTCGAAATCCCGACCCTAAACGTTTTTATTGGATCATGCTTGTAAGTGTTTCCACTTAGAGGAAAAAGTTTGTGGAAAATTGAAATTTGAGGCAATATTAGGGAAATTTATCTTAAAAAAAAGTTTAAAAAAAAAGTTAAAACCGACCTACCCTACCTAAGTTTTTATAAGAAGAAACCGGAAACCCACATATTTTTTTTTTTTGGCCTTATTAGACGTAACAATACAACTATAGGCCCTCTGGCAGGAATCGAACCTGCGATTCCTGTGCAGCGCTCTAACCAACTGAGCTACAGAGTCCAGTTGTCGAGCTCTAACCTCGCGTTCTTTTAAATAACTAAGGTGATTTTTTCTGTGTTGGTGTAGAGGACTCAGGTGAATATGATGCTTGTGATGTTACTCTGAGTGTATATCCACACCGGGCAAGCTTGAAAAATATGCCTGGCCACGGTTCCGAAATATCACATACTCGAACCGACCTGACCGCGTAGCTCAGTTGGCAGAGCATTGGGCTAGTATTCCAAAGGTCGTAGGTTCGATTCCCACCGTGGCCAGGCATATTTTTCAAGCTTGCCCTCAGAGTAACATCACAAGCAACCAAGGCGATGCCAATGTAAGGTGTATGGGCTGCTCCTGCATGGTTAGGTCTACGATTACGATTGGCATTTGTATAGCCCAAATTTACATGTGAATATGACCAGATGCGCTTTACATCAAGTATTACGCTTACCTAATTACATACTTAGCCTGGACTATTTTATCTTTACAATAATTGTGATATTACTTTCTTAACTGTGTTTATCCTAACCCACCCTGTCAACTTTCCCTGTGGGAGGAAACAGGAGCACCCAGAGAAAACCCACGACTTTCGGCAGAGCGTTGACTGACTCTTTTCACATGAGTCCGTAGAGAGAATCGAACCCATGATCTCAGGTGAAAGGAGCTTGCTGTGATGACTACGCCACCGAAGCCCATAAAATAAATATAATATAAGATCTAATAAATATATAAAATCTAAATATTTACATTCGCAATTTCCTTCTACAAAACCCTTTTACAAGTTAAAGCATGATGTAGTACCTCACAGTCGCTACTTCCATAGTCTAAAGGGCTAACTGCAAATTCAAAATGCGTTAAATTAAGAATCCTGACGTTACAGTGGAGCAATGCATATTTTTATAGCATATATAATGCGGGCCATTTGACCCATGCAGGTGTGTGTTTGTGGCTCAGACTGTGCCCTAACCTTACCCTGAGTGGCCCTAAGGAACCAGTCATTATTTATAGCGGGGGGGGGGGGGGTCACCGAAGAGAAATGTTTTTCTTCATAAAAATATTGCTGATCCAACCATTAAAAAGTCAAAATTTTTCTTTACCCAACCTCAAATATCAAAAAAATAAATACCCACACCTGGCCAAAACTTTACAAAAGGATACCATTCAGTTGTCATACATTTCCTTTACCACTTGTGTGACATGAGTTTGATAACTGCTTGTGCAATTTTCTGCAGTCTAAAGTTTCATGTAGTCTGCACATGTAGTTTTTTTTGAGTGATTTGCCTCGGGAAAACTCGGAAAATGATGAAGATAGTGACTCTGATTTATCTTTTTTTTCTTTCTTGGGAGCTGGGGAAATACTTTTTTCCATACTTTTAGCTGGTTAGTGTAGCGAGGAATTTGGTTATATTTGACCAGGACGTCCAGGTTAAATTAATTAGTCTGTGTTAGGAGGTGCCTGTTTACATTAACCAGACTATGGCAAGCAGTGACATAAAATAACCTGGAAATGGGTGATTCTAGCTATAGACTAAATTTTGATCTAGGGAAGAAGAACAAAATCCATCACCACAACTAGAAAGAGCATGTTAAAGCCTAGTTCTCATTCATCGTAAACCGTCGGCGATGGGAGCTTTGCGACGTCGGCGACGGCTTGCGATTTATGAGAACGCATCAAAAATTATATCGCCGATTGTCCGTAATCGTCGCCGACCATCGGCGATGATGAC